GGACCTACAGTCGAAACATATGAAATAAAAAGTTATTATGTGGTATATAAATATTTGCGTGAAAATAAAGAATTTCACAAAGGCTCAGTGATGATTATGACGAGACATATGTTGTGGTGGATATAATAAATTTTGCATTTATTACTAGTCTTGCAAAATATGAAAAACAAAATATGTGTCTGTTAGATATTGTTTTGTTTTGGCCTTTCTATTAGATATTGTTACAGCTTATATATGTGGCTCACTAAATAAAGAAGTTTACATTATAATTCCTGAAGGATTTTAAATGCCCAAAGCATATACACGAAAATCATTCAATATTTGAAATTTTATGTTGATTGATATAATATGAGTATATTTTTTGACTAAAAAAATGTATTGGAAAATAAATAATTTTGTATCTTACTTGACATACAAAACAAGTTATTGAATGCATTAATGATTGATTTTTGTTGTGAGTATTTTGTCTGTAAAATATATTAAATTGAATAGAGATTTGATATGATACTTTTACGAAACTATTATATAAGATCATTTTGTTCAAAATAAATTGATTATGTGGATGTAAGATATATCATGGTGATTTTCAAGATAATTTTTCATTTGTTATTTTCACAGTGTATAAGGCAAGTGGAAAGTATATTGATAATTCAACATATCCAGAAGATATGTTGGAGAAATATACTTAAACAATATTATATGATGATAATACATCGTGAATAGTTTGGCTAAAAAAAATATATGCTCCGAAAGCAAAAGTGATGTTGTCATCAAGGAAAGTAAAAATAATATTATCAATAAGGGGAGTAAAGATTATGCTATAATCTTTTTCTTCATCAAGGTTTTGTCCCACAAGTTTTTCTAGTAAAATTTTTAACAAGGCAGTTTCAATATGTATTAAGTATCCTTCTTCCTTCACGAGATTTTTGCCCTATTGTGTTTTTTCTAATAAGGTTTTAATGAGACACGTTACTTATTTATAAACATCCAAGGAGTAGTATTACAAATATTGCAATATTAAGTATAGATGTCATAACCTTCTCAGAATTGTCTTTTGGCATTTCACACTTTAGGCCGTATAAGGTATAACCTACAACATGAATGACTTCTTGGGATTTCTTCATGATTAGTACTCGTAACCTCTAAACATTATATATCTTACAATTATGTAGATTTATTCCTTGTTGTATTTCTTGAAAAGGAATTTAGGGACTTATGCCTATAAATAATGGACATATATCAAGTGGTTGTAAGTTTGAAATGAATAAAAGATTACTCCCTCCTTCTCTTCCAATTCTTTCTTATCTTTTCCATGTCTTATCCCAAATCTCTCTTGCATTTTTCTTATTTTAATAACAAAATCTTAATTTTATAAAATAAATTAATTCTTCAAAGAAATTCACTTGGGGGGAAAGAGGGAGAAGGAGGGGGGGACTAGAGGGAGGAGAAGAGAATTGACCTTCGTTGCAGTTACAGTTTGAAAGAAAAAATACCTAGTCATCATAAAAATAAAAAAAATTGTCACCTCATCAAGTGATTTCCAGCATAATTATTTTTAGAATAAAATGCACTAACCACTCTTCTATTTTGCTTGAATTACAAAAATTTTTCTTCTATTTTGAAAATATACATTAACTTCTTTTTAAATTAACATATGTATTACATAAATCTTTCTCATAGATTTGAGATTCCATTTACATCCATCCAAATGTTAGTTGATTACTAAGTTTGACTCTTAAACTTTTATTTTGACTAAAATACCCCTTTTTAACATAAGAATTATTTAAACATTTATATTTGTTTTTATGCCATATATTTTTTTAAAAACTACTTTTTTATAAAACCAAAAATTATTTAAAAAAAAATCTATTTTCAAACTTTCTACTAGGTCATGAAATTTATTATTTTTTATTATATAATAAAATTTTATAATTTTAATTTTTCATCACATTAATTCAAATAATTAATTGATATTTCTTTTAAATGATCAAAAAATTTTAAATACATTTTTTATCATATAATATAAACGATGTAACTTTGAGACATTATATAAATATTTAAATTTAATATTTAAAATTTAAACAAATTTTTTACAAACATTTATAATTACTTCATTATAAATTTATTTAAAAAATTAATCAAATTTGTTGGGTCTACATTGATTATGTTATTTAAGTTTTTGTCCAAAGAAACATTAAACAAATAAATATGAAACGAAAAAAAATTGAAATATTGTTCAAAATAATTTTAGTCAAAATTAGAAATTTAATAAGATGAAGGATAAAATAGTAAATAAAATTTTTTAATTAAAAAGGTTTTTTTTAAAATATTCTTAATGGAGTTAATTGTTTAGACTTAACTGTGTGTTTCCAAAATAGAAAAGATATCCCCGTAATTAAGCTAAAATACAAAAGATGTTAGAGTATTTTATTCTTATTTTTAACATTGTCAACTCATGTCAATTAAGAGAAGGATTTGATTGAAACTAAAATAGCCCATATCCTCACAAATAAATTCTAGGGACTTTGACTAAATTTGACTAAAAGGATGTTTGGTTTCATCCAAAAACACTTTTAAAAAGTATTTTTTCACAAATCGAGATAAAACTCTTCTCATATACTTATTCTATATGTTGTAAAATTACTTTTAAAATCATCATTTGATTTCTATCTAAACACCCTATAAAATATAAGAATCCAGAATATAGTTTTCCCTTCTTTCTTTTTAACATTAGGCGCCTGTTTAATAGAAAGAATTAGTTAGAATGAAAAGGAATGGAAAATTTCAAAGTGGTGACATGTGTGCCTAATTTCAATAATTGCCTGCATACTCTGAACCTTGACATATATGACACTAAATTGCTACTCATCCAGCCTAAATATATGATCCAGACAATTAATTTTTTGAGATTAAAAGAATTAGCTAAATTAGTTTTTAAAAAAAGTGTGTTAATTTCCCTAATGTAGCCATTTTAATTAATTGCATTAGAAACTACTCCCTTAGTAGAAAACTTTCTTAATATATGTAATCGATAAGAAAAGTATGAAAAAAATATTTTAAATTTGAGAGATGTGAATTGAGTTTCTATATTTAGAATCAAAACACTCTTCTTCCGGTTCTTATGTTTGGGATTGGTGGTAGTATTTGTTACTTCATGTTCTGAAATGAGTGATTGCCTTCATATTCTGAACCTTGATTGATACTGCATTATGTTATCATCGAAGACCGCCTTCTTCTCAGCAGCATTGAATTCTCTTCCATCTTCAAACACTTCACTAGTTATGCATATGTTAGATTTGGATTCCTTGCACTACCCAACTCTAGAGAGTGCTCAAGAGCACTTATTATAGAATTATAATGTTGGTGTTATTTTTTATATCTTTAATCTACATATAATCTATTTTTACATCCCCAATACGCTGGATTTGAGCACCTGACAAATTTTGGCACCGCTGAGGATCTAAATCTGCGGTTTTTCAACATTTATGAATTGAACTGAAAATGGTGTATGGTAATGTTATGCCAAAAATGCAATGCAAGAACTCTGCACAGCCTAAATTCAGCATTTTTCATATTGACTTTGGCTGCCTGTGTTTAGTTATAAAAGTATATTCTGTCAGAATAGCTTGTGTTTGTGTTTTGAAGTTCTCACTTTTTGGGGTAATTGATTTGAATTCGTTACAATCTCAAAGCTCCATCCCTATGTTTTTGCTTTGGAGCCTCAAAGTAACTAGATGATGCGCACACACACACACACATATATATTTCTGTATATAAACATGATATAATATCTTATTATAGTTTGTCTGTTATATCCAATTTTTCAGGGGTTGTCATGTTATTGCCATAGACATAGATCCTGCAAAAGTTGCACTGGCCATGAATAATGCAAAAGTATATGGAGTTGAGGAATTTATTGATTTCATTGTTGGAGATTGCCCCATCGTTGAGGGCAAAACTTTACTGTCACTGTTTTTTTGAGAATTATGCTCATCACGTTCAACAACTCAGCGCAGTTTATCATACCATTATCCTGCTATTGCTTTTATGATTTCATTGGTACCAAAATAACTACTCATCCGGTTATAAATATAAGATCCTTTTTATAGTGTAATTTATATTACAAAAGGGGTCCTAAATTACACTACAAAAGGGGTCTTATATTTGGGATCGGAGGAAAATATTTGTTTGAAAAAAAATTCAATTTCTCAAAAAAAAAAACACTTCTTGAAATGTTACTATTTTAATAAAATAAACAATTTAGAAAATATGAGTAGTTGAATCAAGTTAATTAAATTTGAATAATCTAAATTTAAATTTTTGATTCATAATTTATTTTAAAAACTTGACCGTTAAAAATACTTTGATTTCATTTTATTTTAATAAAATATAGTGCAAGAAAATATATAAACTATTTCATATCTATTAAAATAAAATAAAAATATTGTAATTTTAAAAAAATAGTATAATTTTTTATTCAAATTACACTACAAGCTAGTTTTTATAATTAAGATAATGCTATTGCTATTAGATCTCAACCACGTAATGTTAAACGTCGACATTTGAGATTCAAATAAGCATACTAAGGATTTATTTGGAATGGCTTCTTAATTGGCATGGGAACATTTGTGTTCGGGAAAAATGTGCGGTGAATAAAAATGTACTATCTCCGGTTTTAATTATAAGACCCAGTTGACTAATTTGAGGAGATTAAGGAAAGAAGTTAAGTTAATTATTTGTAATAAATAGGTGTTGCCTTTTCTAAAATATCCTTACTGATCAACTATATTAGCTTGGACTACAATTATTAGAAGGACTGTTTTGGAAAAAAATGCATAAATATTAAAAACAAAGTAGATTGGGGTCTTATATTTAGGATCAAAATAAAAGTTAAATATGGTCTTATATTAAGAATCGGAGGTAGTACTTTTTTTTTAATTTCTTTTCGTCAAATAAAAAATCTGAATTCAGGAAAGTAGTTGCTCTGTGCATTTTGCCTTTCTGGGAAGCAGAAAAGCTCAGACGGGAGGCGGCGGAGACACTAGACAGGTCCGGATGACGGCTACAAAAACTTCAAACCTAAGCCAGCCACAACGAGGTAAAGAAAATTTTTCAAATTTCTGTCTTTGCAATTTGTTCATTTTCAAGAAAAGAAGAAGAAGCGCTGAGGATCTGGCAGAACAGTGCCAATGGATATTTTTTTTCCCCCAGTCAAGGGTTTTAGAAATCCAGAGGCTTCGAAGGAAGGAATTAGTCCACTTAGTGAGAAATATTGGTATCAACGATACAGTCTATTCTCGAAATATGACCAAGGTATCCAAATGGACGAAGAAGGATGGTTCTCTGTAACACCCGAAGAAATTGCCATTAGACATGCTGAGAGGTGTGCGGGTCATGAGGTTGTAATTGATTCCTTCTCTGGAGTTGCAGGAAATGCTATTCAGTTCGCCAGAAAGTAACTTTTTCTGCTTTTATAACTCTTATTTGTCATTTATGCCTAATTTCAGTAATTGCCTGCATACTCTGAACCTTGACATATACGACACTAAATTGCTACTCATCCAGCCCTAAATATATGACCAGACAACTAATTTTCTGAGATTAAAAGAATTAGTTAAGTTAATAAAAAAAGGTGTTAATTTCCCTAATGTAGCCATTTTAATTAATTGCATGAGAAACTACTCCCTTAAGAGAAAACTCTCTTAATAGATGTAATGGATAAGAAGAGTACAGGAAAAATAATTTAAATTTGAGAGATATGAATTGAGGTCCTACATTTAGGATCAAAACACCCTTCTACCAGTTCTTACGTTTGGGATTGGCGGCAGTATTTGTTACTTCATATTCTGAATTGAGTGATTGCCTTCATATTGAACCTTGATTGATACTGCATTATGTTATCATTGAAGACCGCCTTCTTCTCAGCAGCATTGAATTCTCTTCCATCTTCAAACACTTCACTAGTTATGCATATGTTAGGTCTGGATTCCTTGCACTACCTAACTCTATAGAGTGCTCAAGAGCAGTTGTTATGGAATTATAATGTTTGTGTTACTTTTTATATCTTTAATCTACATATAATCTATTTTTACATCCCCAATACCTGGATTTGAGCACCTGACAAATTTTGGCACCGCTGAGGATCCAAATCTGTGGTTTTCAACATTTATGAATCGAACTGAAAATGGTGTATGGTAATGTTATGCCAAAAATGCAATGCAAGAACTCTGGCAGTGAACAACCTAAATTCAGCATTTTTCATATTGACTTTGGCTGCCTGTGTTTAGTTATAAAAGTATATTCTGTCAGAATAGCTTGTGTTTGTTTTTCGAAGTTTTCACTTTTTGGAGTAATTGATTTGAAATGGTTACAATCTCAAAGCTCCATCCCTATGCTTTTGCTTTGGAACCTCACAGGAACTAGATGATATATATATATATATATTTCTGCATATAAACATGATGTAACATTTTAGTTCTAATAGTTTGTCCGTTATATCCAATTTCTCAGGGGTTGTCATGTTATTGCCATAGACATAGATCCTGCAAAAGTTGCACTGGCCATGAATAATGCAAAAGTATATGGAGTTGAGGAATATATCGATTTCGTTGTTGGAGATTTTTTCACGCTTGCTCCACCGTTGAAGGCAAAATTTTACTGTCACTGTTTTTTTGAGAATTATGTTCATCATGTTCAACAGCTCAGTGCAGTTTATCATTCCATTATCCTGCTATTGCTTTTATGATTTCATTCTGCCAGGGAGATATAGTGTTCCTTTCACCACCATGGGGCGGTCCTTCTTATAAAGACATCCAAACATTTACACTTGATTTACTTAAGCCAATTGATGGGTATGTCATATTTTTTTCTTTCACCACCATCCCTATCTTGTACCATGCTTGGCTTCAGCTTTAATAATTTAACATACCTGTTAATATTCTGACAGAGTCCAATGATGTCATGCAATTCATGTCGGGATAAAAGTACTTGTTATTGTTATTTTGAATTGGGAAAATGTTAATCTCTTGTGCAGTTATACTTTGTTTCAGGTTGCTCAGGCTATAACTCCTAATATCATTATGTTTCTGCCTCGGAACATCAACCTAGAACAAGTTCCGGAGTTGTCTTGGCTGTCTTCTCCTCCTCTGGAGCTTGAGGTAAAATCTCTGCAATATTCTAGAATTGTGTTTCCATTTACAATTTTAGGCCAGGGAGAGGTCAGAAAGATGAATGGTTTCAAATTTGCAGGTTGAACTGAATTATGTGCAAAACCATCTTAAGGGTGTAACTCTATACTTTGGTAGTACGGTCGCTACTTCTCCCAGATTTTCATCAGAGTATAAGGTGTTTCCATATGAAGTCAGTTAATTAGAGGTGTTAATCTCTCTTGAGTGTAAAGCTGTCTTTCATATTTATACATTGGTTGTGACTCGAACTTCAAATATTTACTCAATTGACGAGTTTTTGCCACTCACTATTTTATTTTAAAAGAAGTTTGAGCATGAGTCTACTGTTAAATGAATTTTAATTTAATTTTTTTAAATTTAAGAATTCAGTTTCGCAACATGATATCTAAAATAATTCTCAATATTTTTATATGGATGAATTAAATTTATTTTATCATCTAGATTTTATCCTTTTTCTTTTTATAAATGTTATATGTTCTGAATATGAAGGTAAAATATGATTAATTACATCACTAAAGAATAATTTCTGTGTCCAAATTTCTCCAAATCAGGTTTCTAGAGCTTACTTTGAAAACATTTGATAAATAGATCACTAAGTTTTGATTTTTCTAGTCGAGAAAAAAAAGGCTTTACATAACAAAATCAAACCAATAAAATTAGAAAAACATAAAAGCTAGATGATATAAAAATCAATTTATTTTGCGGTTATTCTGGTTTTTGGATTTATCACTGTTATCACTCCAACACTGTAGACTCTGGCGTAAATAGCCAATTCGTCTGGTTCAGATCTCTGCTTGTGGGACCGTTCTCTGTTTGATTTACTTTTGTTCTCCACTCATGAAAATCATATCTTTCAGCGGGTTTCTTCACTCCTCTTTTATTCTATTTTTATTCACTTCTCATCTCATCATCTTAATTATTAAAATGAAATATGAACGGTTCAAATTTTATATTTTAAAAAATAATTTTGTAAAATATTTTTTACTATTATTTTAAATTATCATGACAAAAATTTTCTAGTTTAATTTTATATAATTTTTAAAAGAATTAACATTTTATTCATAATTTTATAAAACATGAAATATATATTGTGAGAATTTTAATCTTATGGTTGAGATGAGAAGTGAATGAAAATGGAGGGAAAAAGAAGTGCAAGGACTCTTTTCCCATATAAGAGCTAGTTACATATTCAGTTTGATTCTAAATATAAGAATTCAATCTATTTTGTCTCTAATATTTATTGCCTTTAAGTATTTTTTATGGTAATTGCACATATTAAAGATATTTTATTAAGTGATAGTTTCAATGTACATGATTAATAGTGGTATTTTTAAGAAAAAAATTTATTTATTACAACTAAGTAATTTAAGTAATTTTTTAATATTCATAAATTTATTATCTAACCTTTATATTAAGAATCGGAGTTATTATGTATGATGTTAAGGCTTTATTCTTTTCAGTTTTATTTAAATTGAATATTGATACTAAAAAGGGTTCTTATTTCTATTTAGATACATAAATACCTACAATTATTATTTATATTTTAATTATTATTAATTAATTAAAAATAATTATTCTTATCAATATAAAGTAATAGGTTTTAAATTTTATATATATATATTAATTTTGGGGGGGGGGGCTGGGCTTCAAATTAATTAGAGGGAAGGGGCTACTATGGAGAGTACCTTGAAGATGAAAATTATCTAAAAAAATATACATGACAAAAACCATTCATGCCTTAACGACTTCTGTGTTAAATTAAAATCATTCTTGACAGGAGTGATTTTATATGTAGCATTCTAATAAATAATTTTTATAGTGTATTATTTTGATAATTTGTTTTATTATTTATAAAGCTTAAGAAGCCGAATTTGCCATCTCTAGTAAAAAATGTCCTAAGTAAGGCTAATTGGGCAACACAAAAAAAAAAAAAATCTAACATAATTTTCTACTTGCTCACTCAAGAAGTTGTTAAGCAATGACCTGCTTATATCAGTAGGTTGGTCCTCCTCATTCCAGAAGAGGAGAATACGATAGCCCTATGGAATGTTAGCTAAATCCTTCATCACCTGTGAATAGATGTTTCCGTTAGTGTCTACACAATTAAATAATACAATTAAAACAAAATATAAACATTATAAAATCAATTAATTTGTTTTGCAAGTAAATGAATAAAAAATTAATTACCTTCAATTTTGAGAATAGGACTTTCAGATACAAAAAGAGGCATTGTCCTCGTTCTGAGATTGGGGAGGATCTAAGTAGGATCTTCTAAGAAAGGGTTCATGGGTTCTTTTCCAAAGTGCTTAGACATAGTATAATAACTATGAATTAAATAAAATTTTAATAATGGGATAATTTAATTACAAATCACAACGTGAAAATATAAATCTCAAAAATAGTTCATACCTTATACCTTAATGAATTCTGTTTTAAATAAAAATTGTTCTTCATAAGAGTAATTTCATAGGTAGCATTCCAATAAAAAATTTTATGATGTATTATTTTGATAACTTGTCTTATTATTTGTAAAGTTCAAGAAGCCAAAATTTTCACCTTTAGTGAAAAATGTCCTAAGTAGGATTAATATGTAAGATAAACCTAATGACTAGTAGTTGTATCATAATGTGATTTAGGTGATACCACTAAGGATTTCTCATTCCCAACACAAAATGCCTAAAGTAGGTGTAATATGTAAAATAAAACTAGTGACTTTAAGTAGTATCAAAACTTGTTTTAGGCATTACTAATTCATGGATCCTTTGCTTGGTTCGAGGAATGTTTAGAATTTTGATGTTGCTTAATTCACAGTTAAATTATTATAATTCGAAGCAAATATACCTTCTGCTCAAGAGTTCTTTTAAACTCAACAAATTTTTTTCAAGCATTCTTTGTTACATCTTTATTTTGATCATTTGTTTTTATTATTTATATCAAGAAGCCAAATATGCCATCTCTAGTAGAAAATGTTCTAAGTAAGGCTAATTGGTCAATAAAAATTGAAAATCTAACATAATTTTCTCCTTGTTCGCGCAAGAAGTCATTAAGCAACAACTGACTTGTATCAGTAGGCTAGTCTTCCTTGTTCCATAGGAAGAGGATGCGATGGCCCTATGATATGTTAGCTAAATCCTTCACTACCTGTGAATAAATGTTTCCATCAGGGCCTGCATAATTAAATAATACAATTAAAAAATATAAACATTATAAAATCAATTAATTTGTTTTACAAGTAAATGAATAAAAAGTTAACTACTTTTTATTTTGAGAATAGGACCTTCAGATTGTCCAGCAGAAGGGGCATTGCCCTTGTTTTGAGATGAGGGAGGGTCCTGAGTAGTATCATGTGAGGACGAAGGGTTTATAGGTTTTTTTTCAAGGTGTTGAGGCATAGTATAACAACTATGAATTAAATGAAAATTTTAATAATGGGATAATTTAGTAATCAATTAAAAATCACTAACTATCATATTAATGTAAAAATATATATCACATAAATAGTTCATACTTTAACAAATTCTGTGTTAAATAAAAATTGTTCCTCACAAAAGCAATTTCGTATGTGGCATTACAATAAATAAATTTTATGATATATTATTTTGATAATTTGTCTTATTATTTATAAAGTTCAAGAAGCCAAATTTTTCATCTTTAGTGAAAAATGTCTTAAATAAGGCTAATGTGCAAGATAAACCTAATAACTGTAAGTAGTGGTATTTGAACGTGATTTAGGTGGCACCACTAAAGATTTTTCATTCACAACACAAAGTGCTTAAAGTAGGTATAATGTGCAAAATAAACCTAGTGACTCTAAGTGGTATCAGAACTTGTTTTAGGTATAACTAGTTCATGGATTCTCAACTTGGTTTGAGGAATGTTTAGGATCTTAATGTTGCTTAGGAGTTTTTCTAAACTCAACAAATTTTTTCCAATCATCTTTTGTTACGTCTTTATTTTAATAATTTGTTTTATTATTTATAAAGCTCAAGAAGCCAAATTTGTCATATCTAGTGAAAACTGTTCCAAGTAAGGCTAATTGGTTAATATAAATAAAAAATTTAATGTAATTTTGTCCTTATTCACGTAAAAAGTTGTTAAACAACAACCCGCTTGTATCAGTAGGCTAGTCCTTCTTGTTTTATAGGAAGACGACGTAATGACACGATGAAATGTTAACTAAATCCTTCCAGTTTAGGATTAACTAGTCACTCCTCACCCAATTAACAAGTGATCGAATTGTAGTTTTATTCATAACAAAAGGGAATATATTAACTACCGAACCAAGCATAATAGTGAAAAATCATTAATATACAAGACTAAATATACAAGTCTACAAGACTATATAGCCTACGTAAACCATTAATATCATTAAAACAAAATTTATTTTAAATTATTATAATTATAATTTAAAGTAAATGTACCTTCTGTTCAGGAGTATTTCTGAACTTGACCAATTTTTTCCACTGATCATTTAGCACACCTTCAGGTTTGTCCTCAATGACTTCTTTGATGTGTTTAGTTCTATTAGCATGCTTATCATTGTAGAATTTAAACTTTTTTTATTCTTCCATCCCTCTTCCATCTTGATGAGGGAGTACTTTTTTTTGTCGTTAAGGACGTCAAATTTTCTCTGCAAAATAAAAATTACAATCAAAGTATCAAAAATTAAAAGTAATAATTGAATTATAAAATTAATAATTTTAAGGATCAAGTTAAATAAATAATTAAAAATATAATACCACCTTTATATTGCTCCACCCATAATCTTTGAACTCTTGTCTAACCTTAAATTATCACAAAGTAAACCTAGTGGTTTAAGTAGTATCAGAATATGATTTAGATATTACCAATTTGTAAATCCTTAGCCTAATTTGAGGATGGATCTGGATTTGAGTTGTCTATCTCCAACAGATACAACTCAAGCTTGGACATGCTCACCAACTTCATAGAAGAAAATATTTACCTTTGACTTCAAAGGGTATCAAAACATGATTTAGATATTACTAATTCATAAATCCTTAGCCTAGTTTGGAGAAGGATTTGGATTTGGGATGCTCATCTCCAATGGATACAACCTAAGCTCTGGACACGCTCACCCGACTTCATAAAAAAAAATATTTACTTTTGTACATGATGATTCGCCACTTCTATTATCCTGGATATGGTCACTTGTAATTCTGCTTTAACCTCAGATTGCACCTGTGTACAAATCTCTGACTGATTGTTTACTAGAGTCTCATTTGTTTACTTCTTCTATAAATTCGACTGGTTATATATGGTTTTTATTTTGATACCATCATGTTGAGTTTCTAGTTTTTTTTTTATGTTATGAAAATATAATATTATGTATTTACAACGAAGATAAAAAGCTCTTAGAATTCTCTAACCTTCCCATGAGTTCGCTCTCTTTCTCCTAACTATTATCTTAGTCATATAATTTAAAGCAAAATAGATTATTATAACTTAAAGCAAATATACCTCCTTCTGCTCAAGAGTTCTTCTAAGCCATTTTTTTTTCATTTTTATATGCCTTCAGGGACATCATCAATGATCCATTCAATAGGCCTCTTTCCATTATCATCTCAAAATCAGGTTTTTAGAGCTTATGCAAAAAAAAAGATTTAATGAAAAAAAATACCCCCATTTCTTAATATAATAGTTAGTTGAGAATTATATTTGATTCTAAATGTGAGACTTCAATATACTTTATTCCCATATTTATAATTTTTTTCTAAAATATTCCTATTGAATCTAAGTGGTTACCACCAAGAGGTAATTCAAATATATGTGATTAAAAAGTATATTTTAGGAAAGTTAATACACATTTATTATAAATGACCAATTTAACTAATTTTGTTAATCTTATTAAATTAGTTATTTAGCTCTATATTCAGTATTAAAGGTATATGTCACTAAGTTTCAATTTCTTTTGTAAAAAAAAAAAAGGCTTCAAACAACTAAATCAAACCCACAAAGTCAGAGAAACATAACAACATGCAGACAATATACAAATCAATTCATTCTTATCCGAGCTTCTTCAGTTAAAACTCTATTTTCAAAATTTTTGTTCAGCTGCTTTTAACAAAAGAGGTGGCGGGCATAAAACACAATCATCAATCAAATTAGTTATCTAAGAATACAAATTATTAAGTGATTCTTCATGAAATTTCTTTGCGAAAGAATATTTTCAATCAAGATATCACATCTCCAATCAAAAATCATGACACAGGTTTTTAATTGTCATATTAAAAAAATTTAATTGTCATATTAAAAAAATCTCATTTTTTAAAGCATGCCAGACAGCTTCCTTCGTTGATATTGCTTCTGCCATAAGAAGTGATGATGCCTTGCATTTTCCTGCAAATCATCGAGCAACCAACCAAAAGAATCTCTTCCCATAAAATTGATAGTAACTTCACTTGATCTTTCTACAAAAGCACAATTTAAATTAATTTCTGCGATTAGCATTTGCAAGGACAACTTGAGAATCCAATTGGTTTTTTTCTTTTTTTAATTGTATACCCAACTACATTTAGCTTTTCAAACTAAATTAAAGTAGTTAGTATTGCTTTCTAATATTCTTTTAGTTTAGAATTAGCTAGTCATTCCTTACCTAATTAGCAAGTGATCGAATTGCTATTTTATTCATAATAAAAAAGAATTAACTGCAAACCAGACATAATAGTGGAAATATTCGACACCATTGCATTGCAATAAAATATATTCATGTGAAAAGAATCTAGAGAAAAATATATGATTATGAACGGTGGGGAAAAAAAAGCAATGCAGAAGAATTCTTTGTTTATGCTTTTATTAGTTTATAAGCCTCCGATTATCATTATTTTTGCTCAGACATATCACATATGGCTCCAGTTACTAAATGTTACTCCCTCCGTTCTTTATTATAAGAGACATTTGATGCTTATGGCATGTTCCTATATATAAGATACACTTAAAGTTGTCTCTACTTTTTTGTGTTGATTTCCTATTTTATCCATATTTATTGTCTCCAATTCACACTCTCTCTCCCTCTCACTTCTCTTTCTTTCAATAATTTAATTGTTCTCTCTCATGCTCTCTCTCCTTATTAATGAGGATTTTTAGAAAAAAAGATTATATTTTTTACACATTGATTGTTCTTAACTAATTTTAACTGCTTTTTTTATCATATAATTTGGTTATTCGTCTCTTATAATAAGGAACGGAGGGAGTCTATATCGAACACTACAATTATATTTTTCAAAATCAAACAATTCCATGTTTGGTTTGAGGGAAATGAAAGAAGAATAAGAACTTTAATAAGTTCAATTTTTAAAAAAAAAAGGTGAGGAGGATTATAAAATTTTAATTAAAAAATTTAGAGAAAAGAATAAGAAAATAATTAAAAAATTTCAACCTCACAAAAATATATTTACGTACAATTAATAACAAACGACCCTTTTTTTCTTGAAATTTTTGTAATTTGTTACATATCCGCTGGAAAAGAACGTAGAATGGAAAAGCCAGGAAGGTTAAAAATGAAAGAAAGATACGCGCGGGGATCTGACGCTCTGCGTCCTTCGAAGTTCAAAGGCTGTGAATATTACGCGCGCGCGCGCGCGCGCCCGAAACGCATGTATACCTGGCGTCGTTCCCAAGCGAGAAAGCGATATATAGACCCATATCCTTCCACCTTCGTTGACTGTTGGCGTGGACTAATTGACAATGGCTGATTCTGCAACTCAACACACACAGAAGCAAGAAGAGTACCTCGACGTTCTCACCAAGTCTGGCCAGAAAACTGGGATTTCCAAGCCCAGGTAAGTTATACCTCCTGTTTCTTCCCCTTTTCGTCGGTCGCCGGGAAAACACGACGGCAAATGTTGTAATGGGAGTTAGTGTTAACGATGGTTATTGAGAAGTTTGCATTTTTATTCAAATTAACTTATCATTCTTCGCAGATTTTAATGTTTGGTTGCAACTTCTAGCTCTAGGGATTGTCCTAGTTCTTATTCCAAGTTATATAATCTCGTTTAGTCGCACTTTTTTTGTTCTGCCACGACATCAATGGCTTACAATACTTCCATTCATCCTGCTTTTTATTATCTCGTTTATTCTAGTCTGTCACTTCATGTACAGAGGGGATGTTCATGGAGATGGGGATTACCATCGAGCTGTTCATGTGTGGATTTTTGCGGAGAGCACTCAAGAACTGCTTCTCCAACGACGTGCTGATTGCAAGGATTCGTGGCCAGGCTTGTGGGATATCTCCAGTGCCGGACACATAACTGCTGGTGATTCCTCACTGATAAGTGCTAGGTAATGAGTTTCATTGCCATCCATATATCGTTCTTGTTCTTACTTTTGCCAGATTTTGAACATGCGTGTTGATCCTATGTAATGAGTATGAGGTCTTATTTCTTGTTTCCTGACAAGGATAAGTTCTATAGTGAATACAATGAATATGGTTTACTAATTTAAAAACACTAATAGGCTGTTTGCACTACTGAACCACAACATTTTTAGAAATGTTTACTCTTAGAATTTGAGTTAGATATTGCATTAGAGAACCTCTTTTATCTTATTTGTATGCTGGAGATGTGGATATACCTGAATAACATTAGAGTTCAAGTAGTCCTTTGCCAATTTGTTTTAATCCCATGTTGAACAAAATATCAGTAGAATCAAACATTATTTCCCTTTTTCACCTGAGTTAAGCTGTGTTTAATATACAGATTTCCTATATAAAATATTAATGTTGTACTCCTTGGAGAGTTATGCATATTAAAGTCCAAGTTTTGCATGACTCTCTCTCCCTCTTTTTTTAGTTTAATTAATTAATTAATTTATTTTTCAGGAGGGAGCTTGAAGAAGAGTTAGGCATAACCCTTCCAAGGGATGCATTTGAATTGCTATTTGTTTTCCTTCAAGAGTGGTCAGTAAATCAAGCCGCTTCCTTTGTGGTGGTGCTAATGTTCTTTTTCACAAATATTTGCCTTTGAACTGAACCTTGAATACCTTAAACATTCTCTATTCTCATTGACTATGGACCTCTTAATTTCTTTAAAATTGTACAGGAGATTTGGCAGCTAGCTTGAAGGGTAAATAACATAGAAGAAATTCTCGCATGCTCTCTTTTGCTCATCCTTTGGAATCTGGGAAAAATTATATGAAATTTGTTCTTTTTAGGCTGGTTAAAGTTTTAGAATTATTGGCAGACCCTGATATCACCTTTGTTGCTACCGCTAGCACACTATTACAACGACCTATGAACATGTGCGTGCACACCTAGCAGTATATGCATAAAGGTTTAAGTGCCAGAGCACTGCTAACTTGGGGCTGTTTCTTATTTGATCCAAATTAGCAGCTGCATTTGTTCTGGATCCAGTTGATACAAATATCATATCTGTTTGACTAAGGCTCCATAAAAATTTTATGAAGAGGAGTTGGAATAATAAAATTTGAAGTTGAAACTTCTTGGGCAATTTGGCTTCTTATATGGCGTGAAAGTACCAGTTGACCAAAAAATTGGAAGTTTCAACCAAGGGTCCGAGAGTGGCTTTTCTAAGTTTTACTTGTATTATCTTCATGTTGTTTGACAAGATATGATCCTGCATAAAATTTTAGCATTTAACCTCAGATACTTGAACAAGTTCTGAAATGGCGAGAGCAAGTGGATTGGTATAGTTAATGGCATAGCAAAAATATTTCCATAGTGTATTACAAATAAGAATTCTTTTTATTATTAACTAATCTTTTCTTTATACCTTACTGCTTGATCTTGGAGGTTTTAAGCATTATTGATAAGCTAATGTCTTTTTAATTATGAATTGCAGTGTCATAAACGACGGAAAGTATATTAATAATGAATATAATGATGTATATCTGGTGACAACTCTTGATCCAATTCCACTGGAAGCCTTTACTCTTCAGGTGAGGATGCTTTACATGTTAACGAAATGGAGTCTCATACATCACATATTTTCTCTTATTTCCTAAAATGGTAAATGTAAAATAGTAGTTATACTGATGCTAGTATGATTATTCCATCTGATGAATGCAAAGTGTTTTTTTTTTTTTTTTCTGGGGTCAAGAAATATAATGCACTGTAATTTGTTCAATATTCATGATGATGGGCAGGATTGATGTTTTCTATGAAGCATTTGTAGATGACTGTTTTGTGGTAATGAAACAAAAAAGAATTATTTACGTAATTGCTTAACCTATGAACCAATTATACGGCATGTGATTATAGGTCATTACATTAAGATCAAGGTTTGTCTATTCTGGGCCACAGAACTGATTTTGAGTAACCTATAAATTATTGATCTGAGTTTTATTGTTATGAGAAGTTCCTACCTTTTTGGACCATGGGCATTTAATTCACTGCATGGAGGTTGCCCTTAATAATCTGATGGGGGAAATGTAACTATAAGTTGTAGTTAATTAAACTTTTTTTATGGAATTTAATGTTTTATAGAAAGAGGCATTAAAATCATGAAATAAAGTGTGATACTTTCAAGGTCAGACTCAATCAAAGGTGTCATCCTCTTGTGCATTTAAGGTTTCATCATGTTGTTGTAATCATTAAGCAATTGTTAGGCATCAACCGATAATAACTGGGCATATCTAATGTACTGCATCTCAATCAATGTTGAGACCAGGATTCAATAAATTACTCAGCATCCAAGTGGAGCACCATGTGACATAGCTGAATATTTAAATGTTCTTTAATTTACGATGGACCTTGGCTTTCCTTGGATGCATTTTTATCACAGTAGAAGCATTATTATATTATTTTTCATTGTATTGCTATATAGGATAACAGTGATTGATTATGACGTTCCTCCGTATGTGTTTGTGGAAATCTAATTTTAGGATTTTCATTCATATGTTTCTTTGAGTGCATGAGTGATTGGCATAATGAAGTTTCCTGGTCTGATTCGAGTGAATTTTCTATTACAATTAGGAAACGGAAGTGTCTGCCGTTAAATATATCCCTTATGAAGAATACAAAAGGCTACTGGCTAAAGAAGATTCAGATTATGTCCCTTATGATGTTTGTGGACAGTATGGTCAACTTTTTGATATAATAAAGATGAGGTATGCTATTTCTTAATATTTTCTTGTCATTAATGTATTATGCAACTCCTTTTTTTCATGGCATATGTAAAATGTAATCATTATTGTGGTTTGGTTCCTTGTACTGCACTACACCTTTGTTATTAATTGATATGGTTGCCCTAAAACTATACTGTCTTGAAAACATTATTTACGTATATTCTGCTAAGGTATGCTGAATGATTTTTAAATTTTTCTACATTGGTTATATGCTTATATTGGTTTCTTGTAAATATGTTGAAGGTACAAAGAGAATATGGTGGCACGCAGTTTGAGTCTACAAAAACAACTCAGACGTTATGCTCCTAATTGCCTTAGTGCAGAGGTTGTTGAATCTTTTGTTATTTGCCTTCATTATTTTGTTGGATTGGCCTCTATTCATGATCTGTTTTCACTTTCAGCACAACGTTTGTCCATCCCTCTTGTTAGATTGAGTTAACATTAGCCCTTCAGTATGGCACTATTTTTTCTACTTCCTATATTATAACGTCCCTCTTCAACCAGGATGCCTGTGAATGTAATGTATTCTATATTTAGGATGGAATATTGTTGTTGCAATTGATGGGGCTTTAAATACAAGGAAACATGAGTAACTGCTTCCTTTACCCCAAAAGTAGATTTCTTTTGAACACAAGCATAAAAGTTTGCCTTGATTTTAGAAATAGGAGCTTGATCCTAAATTTTGCTTTGCACTCCGCTTACAAAATCTTATATTAAACATTCATCCATAGTGGGCTAATTGTTGAGTATTTTATTGATTATTGGGCAAATAGAATATGGTAAGATGAAATACAATTGGCTAATTGTTATGAGATGTATGAGATAATTTCTTCTATTGAGGACAGCACACATTGGTTAAATCAGAGTAATCAACTGGAAGCATGTTGGATGAATTTTCTACAGGAATAAATAAACCAATATATCAAAATTTAAAAGAATATGATCCCTTACTTGGTTATGGTGTTAGAAATCCCTGAACTAGTGACAATTTTTCTTTTGCCAAAACTTGATCTAGACTCTTGACCATTGGAAGTAAATTTTCCTTTTATATTTTGCAGCTGACTGGACTCTCTGAATCAGATAGAGAGGCTCTTGTTTTTCTTGTCAAGGCTGCAGCTGTTATGGATGAACTCTTCTATCTGCAGGTCGGTATGTGATACACGTACAGAAGTGCTTTCATGCCTTTGTTCATTTTTATTATGCATGTGTGTATATGTGTATATCTTCATTTCTGTGTCTCCTTATGTCAGCATGTTCTTGTCTAGTATATAACAATTGTGACAGCATACTTATACTGCCAAAACTTTTATGATGTGGATGGTTGTGCTGGATCATGTGGGATGTTTAATAATCATATTTTCCTCAGCACATCATAAAGTTTGACTGGACATTTATTTCTTGCTACACATGGCCATTTCAATTTTTTTTCCTTTGATATTAAACCATGAAAATGGATGCTCACGGTAACATCATCGCTAATGTTTTCTTTGTTTATTTGTTTACTTTCAAATCAGGCCTGGTACAGTAATCCAGTACTAAGAGATTGGCTGAAGAAGCATGCTGATAGATCAGAGTTAGATAAGCTGAAATGGTCATATTATCAGATTAACAAGGCTCCATGGTAGGTTGTGACAGTTTTCCCTATCATGTTAAGCCATCACCACTGGTGATGTGCTGCATCTGTAAATACATCTATCAAAGGTTATTTCAGCCCATAATGGATAAATAGTGCCGGCCTATTCAGTTTTACCAGATTGCCGACGAGGCAGTTCCAACTGTTACTTGGCCCCATTGTTTAGCAACATCTTCAAGGCTCCTGTTTAATGCAAAGCAATGTGGATTACAATGATGTTATGCATTTGAATAAAATTGTTGGAAGCAGATGAAGTAATGTTGTGAAGAGTATTTCTCTTGTTGATCTCTTAGTCAAATAAAACCAGTGGAAACAGGTATAAACAAGGACCCAAATTAGAGGATTAAGACTCGTTGGTACTCAGCCAGCATAAAAATGTAGTTTGAAAAATAGATCAACCTTTCATTAATCTGAAGACTAACCAAATTATCACTTATAAAACAGCCTAGTTGAGGAGCCTAGAGAAGGAAATAAAGATGAGTAAATCTGTTAATGAATCTGATATTCATTAGAATTAATTCGAGATTCTATAACATTCCTGTATTTTGCCAGTGTCATCTTAATATATATTCTCACTATTACCTTTGTTTGGGGGAGATTTTGCTACATTAATATTTCTCTCAAGCAATGTTAATGCGAGCTTTCTCATAATCGTTTTATGTCCATAGATAAAAAGCTCACATCATTGTACTGGTAGGTCACCTATCCGCACAGATTGGGCTTAGTATTAAACGGTTAAAATTATTCTTTCTTCTAGAAATCTTGACACAGTTCACCTTGGTAGGATAACTATCATCTTATTACAATTGACTTAAATATTGATAACCCTCTTTTGTATTGACTCCAGTGAGATTTCTGTCGCTTCAAGAATATACGTTGTGTAACTTTGAATTGTGGACATAATTTATAACTTATTTTGGTCAATAAAATGAAAAAAAAAAAAAAGCTGGGGAAAGATAATCTGAGCCGAAATGGCTATTCTCATTTGAAGTTTCCAAGAGTATATTGCTTTTTTAACAAATATATAAACATCATGCTACCTTGAATGCTGCATTTTTTTTGTTTTAATATCTTGGCTAGAATTTAGAAAAATATATCTTTTCAGCATGTTTAATAACCTTTCTTTTTTTTTCCCCCCTTTTTAGGTCAAGCCTTGATCAAGACCAGGCATTTTTGACAACTGCGGATTCAGCCATAAGGTTGCTCCCAAATGCAACAAAACCGGTTAAAGATTGGAAGGGTCTGGAATATAGAGCAGCATTTCCAATGCAGAAGCCACCTGGAGCAAATTTCTACCCTCCAGACATGGACAAAATGGTACTACTGCTAATAATATGCTGTGCAAAGAATTTGATTTTGCGACAAGGGAAACAATGAGCTTCTGTCATGTAGGAATTTGAACGATGGAAGGACAGTCTAGAAAAGGATCAGCAGACAGAAGCTACAGGCTTTTTCAGTGTTATAAAAAGACACAGTGAATTTCTTTTGGATTCTAATACAGTAGATAACAAAGTGGGTGCTGCTCATGATCTTTATATAGTTCCTTACTCTCAAGAATACAAGACTCTTCTTGCAAAGGCTGCAGAGTTATTGCGTAAAGCTGGGGACACAAGTGACTCACCAAGGTATGTTTTCGTATGCTCATTATCCACCAATCATTGGCTGCTTCATGCTGAATATTTTAATTTATAAATGTTGGCTAACTCATTTGTTCTAAATTTAGTTTGAAGAGGCTTCTACACAGCAAGGCTGATGCTTTCCTTTCAAATGATTATTATGACTCAGATGTAGCTTGGATTGAGTTGGTTAGTTCTTTCTTTAACTTTCTACAAGAAGATTTTTCAGCTACTTGGTGACATGTAAGATGAACACAATCCAATCAATCCCATGTTTTAGACTCATTTGAAGATTCCTAATTTAAAAGAACAAATAAATCAAGTATCTTATTTTTGTTATCATCACTAGCATGACTGGGAAAGCCCGCTGGATTACTTTTGCTCAATATGTCTCTTTTGCTAAATGTGTGTTTTGTTTTAATCTGTGCCCAACCTCCTTCCTATTGGAATGATTACTTGATGATCAAGCCCATTTTGATGAACAAGCCCATTTTATTTAGGCAAAAGAAAATGTATAAAGTTTCCTAGTAGCGCTTCTGATGGCATTTAGTGCTTGTTTGGAGTTATTTATCATCAGCACATTCACACAGCCTAAAACAAAACTCTTCTCACATACTTACCTTGTACGTTATAAATCACGATTGGAAAGCTTCTTTTGAATGCTCTAATCGCCCTTCCAAAAAAGCCCTTATATGACTGGCTATAAATGTAGATGGCCCTTTCATCTCAAAAGCTCTAGCTTCTAGGACAAGGCCTAGGAATGGATTATATTTCATATCTCTAACATTTTCAGTGAGGTGAAAGCCTGTTGGGCTTCAAGTGATAATAAAGCAAGCCCAAGCCAGTCATTCCTTATTCTGAAATTTCCTTTAGTTAGGAGAATTGGTTCACAAGGATTAAGCTTTGTGTGTGTGTGTGTGTGTGTAGACAAAGAGTGAGAGCAAGTTGCACCGCCCTATTTATGTACTTTGTTAGTTTTAACGTCAAGCATTACCTTATTCAATTCTTTTGCTCTTTTCTTAAAACTTCAATCAGATGAAATCAAGTTCTTGGTACATTCCATTCCAGCCTCAGAGGCATTGGAATTTGGGTTCTTCAATTTAAATCAGAAGGAATTCTTCCCTACAATGGAGAAGATGGTCAGACACATCATTAAATAGCGACCTTGCCCTTTGAGTCCAATAACCTTTTTCCCTGATTAGGCTTTTACCAATATGCACAATGTGGAATGGACTTCATTACATTTAAATATTTAGTTTTTGCTGGAATGCATGTTACTTCTGGCACATTTCAAGATCATATAATTGTTGATCTTATTCCCTTTTCTGGTGCAGGACTCGAAGTTGGATGTTACTATTGGGCCATATGAGACTTATGAAGATAAACTATTTGGATATAAGGTAAATATTAATCTTTGATTGAGGCTTTTTACTGCATCCAGATGACTTTATGCAATGTTGGCTTCAATGCTCGAATTTTTCAACAGCTAAGAACTTTATATCTTTTTCCGCTATAAAATGATCATATGCTTCACATAGTTAATATGAATGTATACTACTATTGAATGAAGCTATTGTCATTACTTGGAAGCTGATTCACAAGAATCTTGATACTTTAGGTTTTAGATTTCTAACATTCATGTCTTGTCTGTGAAATGGCAGTTTTGTCTTAAGAGTTTCAGGACATCAATGTTGTGGGCCATGTGGCATGGTTTGGGGATTCTTGTGAAATTAATGGAATGTTCCTCCCTTTTCAGTGGCTTCAACCTGAGGGGGGAGTACTTTATTGGGCAGATGATGCTTTAAAAATGCAGTCTCCCCCTCTTCCCATACTCTGATGAGGTCCTTGATAATTCCAGTTAATCTCGTTTTGGGACTCACTTGACTTGTGCAGTGAAAATCCTGAGACAACCATGCATTCCATGTCTTCTCCTTGTGTCCCTTGGAACTTCTAATTTTATTTAGCTTATCCAACAATAATATTCAGCTATATTATATAAGAATGCAAAAGGTTAGGTGTATAAAGTTATTTGGATAAAAGCATAAAAGTAGCTGAGTTTATCTTTTGAGGTGAACGAAGCTAGCAAGTTAGGCTACTCTTCCTATGGCTTAGGCTTCAATATAATATTGACAGGGACTACTTAATTTAAAGTATGGAACTTTGCCTGTAGCCCTTTATTCAGTCATTAATTATTTTCCAATTTCCATTTCCTTTTAAGTGCCTGTCTCTTTCAGGCATGGAAATAGGAATCTTTGAAGCATAGACACTGCAGAAAAAAAGGAATAGTGTTCATGCTAAACACATCTGGGACATAGAACTTAGGAGATGCCTCAACTCTTTGGAGCTTGCTATTTTGTAGCGTTCATGTTATTATTAGCAATTCTTTCATTTTCCACATGTTAAGTTGATTATCCAACTTCCCAGAAGTCTCTCACTTTTAAAAATGAGTATCTTCTAACTTTAAAATTCCACAATTCGATTTCTATTCTTCTAGGCCACCTTTGAAGCATTTATTGGAGTCCGGGATGACCAAGCTACAGCTCAACTGAAACTTTTTGGTGACAATTTGCAAGTGATATCCTGCAATCAATTCTGCTCATGTAATTAATTTATAATCATTTTTATGTGCTATTGAATCTCAAAAGATTTCTGCTACTGAAGGTTCTGGAGCAAAATCTCCCAATGGACAGAGCATACAAATCAGAAGATGTAAATGCTGCACCAATCCGTGTTATCCGGCTTATATATAATGCTGGGGTGAGTATCAAGAATAATGTAGTATTCATAAATTTCTTATGAGCTATGATGCTAACTGTTAGGATCACCATTGAAAAATTAGGAAAATACATGAAAAGCAAAAAGATGCTTTTTATGGATCAGAACTTTGACTTCCCATTTTGGAGGGAAAAATAGGAAAGTAGGGTGGCCATAGGGTTCCTGTAGCCAAAGTCTATGAGAGATGCTGTAAGAATCCCTTTTTGGGCCTATAAATATCCCCTTTTGTTCAGCAGGAGGGGTAGAGAAGAATTTGAAGTGTGGCTTGGCCCTTGGGAGTAGAGAGTGCCAACCTTTTGAAAGTTTGGGAATCCTGTTCTGTTTTAGAGAGTCTGTAGTGTCATTGGGTTGTGGTCTGTGTCCCGTTTCTTGTTAGTTTCTAACTGTTATTCAATTTCTGTTCATGTATCTGAGTGGAAGAGGGTGATATGTTTGTCTTAAATCACCTTGGCCCTTGTAATCTGATTTAGTTATGCAGTAATATTGTGATCAGTTTTCAATTATTCCCACTCTGTTATCTACCACTAGTTTAAGTCTTGTTATAGTAGAGAGGGTCATAACACTAACAAAGATTTATGAGTTATTACAGTAGTGATTCTGTTGGTGTTTGATTTTGAAACAATTTTTGGTCTCAGTTACGGGCTGCAAGCATGATTTATGGGTTGCAGTTGATAGAAAACCTGACGAGTGTCGTGAAGAATGGTTATATTACATCATGACAAGAAAAATAGTTTCACTATATCAATATAGGATCAGGGAGAACTGGCTTAAGCATTTATTATATGAGACACGTCCTTCTTAAAATGCAATGCTAGTCTCACCTGCTAGTGCTTTCCAGTGTCCAGATTTTCTTGCTTTTGGTGTAATTCCTTAGGATGAAATTATTAAAACGGAAATTTTACACTGATGAATTATTTGTCAGGATGTGAAGGGACCACAGACTGTTGCTTTTAATCTACCAAATGATGAGCGTATAGTAAATGATCGAGGAACATCAATGGTCATGCTTAAGAATGTTTCAGAGGCAAAGTAAAAACTCTCATGTTCAAATGCCCAGTCTGTTCAAGTTACAAACATGAATGGTTTTCTTTAGATGATAATTTTTACAAACCCGCTGCCTATCATAATCAGGTTTAAGCATATTCTTCTTCCCATTGCTGAAGTCTGTGTTGCGAAGGAACAACAAGAACTTGTAGATTTTGAATCATTTTTTACTCATACAATTTGCCATGAATGCTGCCATGGGATCGGACCTCATACCATAATACTTCCAAATGGTCAGAAGTCTACAGTGAGATTGGTCAGAACTTCTGCAGCAAACTCAATCATTGAATGATGGATCAATAGTGTCGATTTGACTGTCTAACTAATGTGTAATCTTCCTTCTTTTGATACAGGAATTGCAAGAATTCCACTCTGCTTTGGAAGAAGCAAAAGCTGATATAGTTGGTCTTTGGGCATTGAGATTCTTAATCAACAAGGTCAGTTATTAAATTTAGTTATCAATGAATACATGTATCCTGTGCATATTCAGATTGACTAGAAACCCCGGGCCAACATCACAATGAAGAGGTGAAAAGGAGGCTTGGAAAATGAGAAGAAACGAGAAGTAAGTGATAAGGGGAAAGGAGAGAGTAAAAGAAATAAAGTAAAAGTACAAACTAGAAGTAACGAGGGACAATGTATTCTACTAGGACCAGGGGAAGATGCTAGGGAATTTAGTTTCTTTTCACGCCAGGAAATGAACCAAAGTCCCCCAAAATTTTAGATTCTCAAAGATAGTTTGAGAAATAAAATCTCCTTTAAGATAATCTATAAGCTCCACGGTTTTACTGGAATTAACTAATCCTCAGTGACAGATCTAGAACATGATGATTAGGGGGGCCAAATTAAAACGAAATATGGAATGTCTGTGGGGGGCCCTTGCCTCTACATCTGTCACTGCTAGTCCTTGTTTACTATCTCAAAGTAGATTTTTTGTTTTTAATGTCCTTACGTTATTGTCCAGTAAGAAACTGATTGCGAACTTTTAAATATATCTGGGCACTGCATTAATACGTGTTTTATGCCATGTTTAAGTGAGATCCAAAATATCTTTACTAAGCTGTAGGTTAACCTTCACAATAATTGAAACTTCTAAGACTTAGCCCGTTAGCCGGCCAAATTTGGCCTTTGATCTCGTGAGCCATAACTAATGCTAATTTATGGCTTGTCTGAACATCAGGACCTACTTTCCAAGAGTTTATTGCAGTCCATGTATGTTTCTTTTCTTGCGGGATGCTTCCGGTCAGTACGTTTTGGTTTAGAGGAAGCTCATGGGTAAGCTAGTTATACGCTTTTCCTCCATCTGTTGTCTATTATTATCCAGCATCTGATTTTATCTGTCTGTTTTCATATCGTTAGGAAAGGGCAGGCATTGCAGTTCAACTGGTTATATGAGAAAGAGGCATTTATCTTGCATAATGAGGACAGATTTTCAGTCGATTTTTCCAAGGTATAATTGACTTGCATTCTCTCAGCCTCTCTCTTCATGTTTATGACTGTTAGATTGATGCCATAATTATATTTTGCTTCTTCAAAGATTGAAGGAGCAGTCGAGAGTTTGAGCAGGGAGATACTCACCATACAAGCCAAAGGTGACAAAGCGGCTGCAGGTTTGCTTCTTGATAAATATGGTGTGCTCACAGAACCGTTGAAGCTTGCTTTGAAAAAGTTGGAGCATGTTCAGGTAATCATAGTACTCTGTTATTGGCGAATCTGATAAGTTGGCATGTGTCACTATGCTTTTTGATATTATCTATTTCTTGTTCTTGTTTTACCATATTTGAAGTATAAGTGTATCTTAGCATCCCAGAGGAGCTGAAAACTAAACAAGAAATTCACATCTCTGGCAGCATTAATACGATGTTGTCTCGCTTAAACATCGATTAATGATGATGTTTGTGAAGTATCAACAGATGATGGACAATCCTTGAAATTAATTATGTATATTATTAGAAGAAATAATAATTTTCTAGCAAGTGTCCTTTCGACAGTTATTTCTGCTTTTTCCATACAAATCAATATTGAGGAAGCTAGTGAAAAGTATTGCAGAAAAACACCTGCGCCTCAAGGGTACACAGCTACAATTTAAGTACGGCCCTTTGTACCATAGCTGATAGTATTTGACTATTTGTTGTATATTTTAGGTACCCGTTGACATTGTTCCCTCCTTTCCCATTGCTGAAAAAATATTGGAATCATGATACAAGATCCAAGGCAGAAGCTTACCATGCCAGCCATCGTCCTTGCATCCTTGGGGTCAAATTTGGAGCAATTGCAAGTTCTTCTTAGAAAATAAGTCTTTGTTTTTTCAAAAACAAATTGGTCTTCTAGTGTACTTAAACTTACAATGAAAATGATGGCATGATGTAAGGCTTGTTACATGATTTTCTGAAGTATGTGAAATAGTTGTTCATATTCGAATGCCGGCTCTTTTTGTTTTGACGACAACTTGTGAACCGGATGATTTTTTTCAAAAAGGTTAGTACAAATTTTGGTCTATTAAATTTGTCTTCATTTTGGTTTTGATTCCTCAACTTTCAAGTCATAGGTTTTTATTCCTATAATTTAATAAAAACTTGGACTATTTTATCCCTTGAGAGATCAAAACCAAAATGAGGGCAAACTTGAGGGGTTAGATTATATTATCCCTTTTCAAAAAGAATAAGTTTAATCTCAAAAGCTTCATGATGGTATATTTCTGTTTGAAATCTTTGGTTCATACTGGATTATTAGTTTCTTCTAATTATTTTTAGAGACCTGGGGTGATTGGATAACAAGATTATATACCTCAATAACGTGTACTTATTTGATGTGTGTGATTGTAACGAGCAAGAAATATTCAAGCTAACAGAGTGGGACTATCTGAATGTCATTGTTAAATGTTAAGTGAATTGTCAAACTAGTTCATTCGACTAAAAAAATTTAGTAAATGCAAACCAAACACTAAATAACTGAGTATAAATGTTCATGGGAAAAAGATCAAGATAACCCTTGCCAGTGTCCCGTCTTTAAAAAAGGGGACGATTGGAGATGAAAATTATATCCCCGGAGTTGGTCTCGTAATGGGATGATTGATAGATCAAGTAAATAACCTGGTAATAAAATAAAGCAACCTAATTTTTAAAAAAATTAAATGCCTTTGCGGTGAATGATGTATAAATATGAAAGGAGTCTTAAAAGTTGTAATATAAGAAATAAAAAATGATTTTCATACCTAAAATTTAAATGGGTTAAAGTGCATTTAATACTGTGAACTACTCTTCTGGTTTTATTTATAGGATAGAGAGAGAAGACATTTTTTTGTTCTATTTACAGGATACTGAGAAAAAATTTTTGTATGAATGTACAACTTTACCCTTTATTTGTTATTGTATTGACTTTGTTTACATGAAGCATAATGTAAATTAAATAGGGATAAAGTTGAAAAGTTATTAAATTTTAAATAAGAGTTAATAAAGTTTAAGATTTTTCTTAGTGTGTAAAATATATTGGAAGTGTCTCATAACTAGGACCAGAAGAGTACTTTTTTTAAAAATGTATTCAGTATTATGCACTCTAAAGTATTTTTAAGTGTATTGAGCACCTTAAATTATTTTCAGCACGTCTAGCACTCTAAATTGCCAAATGTAATATTGCATAAAAAATATTTTAGGGTACTGGATGCACATAAAAAAAATTTAGAATACTAGATATATCTGAAAATATATTTCAAGGGATACAATCTTGTTTGAGACACTGTAAGGTATTAAATGTGGGTTTATTAAAATTTGAATTTTGATTCGGGATATTACAAGAGGCTAGTTTTTTGGTTGGCTTCAGGCTCTGGTGAGAGATGCGCGTCATTGGGTGCCGTGGGTGGGTCCATGACGTGGTGGGATGGTATTCGGATGGCTCGCTTGGGGCCATTCTCTCATTTGTCCCGATCCTTTTTTCTGGGCTTTGTTTCTTTGTTGGGCACATCCCGTCCCGTCCCAACCCAACATGATTGGGATGGAGATGGGCCTAATAAAACCCGGACATCATAAACACCCTCTTTAGTTGTGTCTGTCTCAACAAGATGTGTTTATTAATGTTTTTAATGCTTGATCAATAACACCTTTAATTACCAACAGGAGTTAGGTCTAATAGAATAAACTAATCCCTCACAATATGACGGACCAAGATTTGAATTCCTGCTGGAGAGATGCCTACATTTAGTGTCCAACAGTATCTCGAATAAGATTGCCTCTAATAAGAGGATGCCTATGCTTTAGCAAAAAATAAATAAATAAAATAAAACCTTTAATTTTTAATGTAAGTTTCAAAAAAAATTATATAAATTTAAAAAATTATTTAGAATTAGTTAAAGACTATAAATATACATATAAAAAAATACAACTTGTCTTTTCAAAACATCTTTATTTATGAAAAGTGTGAGGGGGAGAGAAAATGAGTGGAAAAAGATGAGAAAGAGTGGTGGAAAAGAATAAGGCAATAAAATGATTCATGTCACATCTATAAAAAAAAATAAAACAATTCTCACCATGTATATAAATAAATAGATTATTTGCAAAACATATATATTTAAATGTGTACTATTAGGATCATTGTATATCTTTTGTGCTCGAGATATCTCAAATATAAGCAGTATGTGAACATGTTGAGAATGCTTTATTGATGTGCTTACCACATTTGACAGCGGCCTAAACATTTTAATTTGCTCATTTAAACCTTTTTTTTTATTTTTGAGTTTACATATGTAGTATAATAACGAAAAACTTAAATTCCAAAAAAACAAATTCAAGCTTTTGAGCTACCCATGAGCCCAATTTGAGAATGGCTCCAACAAGTTTTTGATTTTGCGCCTAAGTTTGGACTAGATATTAGATCGATTCCTGCTCCAACTAATTGAATTGGCTAGTTCGGTCTAATTTTTAACAAATTGCTTTTATATCAAATACATAGCAATTGTGATTAGGCGAAGTGAAACAAAAAAAAAATCTATATTAATACCTTTGGTCTTAAATATACATACCCTGTTTATAGATTATAAGCGAAATCTTATATTTAAGACCGGAAGTAATATTTAAAATAGATGGGTCATTATAAATGGGGGAAAATTATGTTTAAAGAACTACTTTATTGAACTCGATAATGTTCAAATCAAATAAGGAAAGCCTGAATACCTTCATTTGGTGGATAATGATAATAATCATCCCACAGCTTATTTCATTTTACATCGATGCTCTATAAAGGAAGAGGTAGGTATTGCTTCTATGACAATTTGAAGCAAAGCGATATCCCAACTAATTAAGCCCCTGATCTTGCAAAGCAGAGGATACATGAGATCTAAAGCTCTAAACAACCTTTAATTCTTTTAGCCACTTGGTGTGCAGAGGACATGGGTCAGGTTTTTCTTGTGCCACGGCCTTCTCAGAGAGAGAATAAAACCAACCATTTCTCCATTTGAACTACAAATACAACAAACAAATTGGTAACTTGACAATGGGATTTCAAAAATTTTATACTAAGTTGTTGTCTTTTACCTCCTTAACTGCAGTGGGAAAGTGGGCAACAGCTCGGGAATATGCACACAAGCGCTCGACCATACCATCATCAAATGTTAAACCTTTTTCTCCAGCTGCTGCTGATGCTAGTTCTTCTATAAGTTTTGATACCTAAAAATATAAACATGAGTTAGAGACGCATTATCCATAATTCAAACCCTCAATTTCATGCCAAATTTGACTGCAGAGCATAGTTCATCTCTAGATTCACAGGCTTTGATGTCAATGAGCATTATCAGGACATGCATTTAGGTCAAGCTCATCATAAATGGATCCAAGATTGACCCTTCTGATCAACCCCAGCCTAGTAGATGGAACGTTCAAACTTAATCCACGCAAATTTGACAAACACATCTTAGAATGAATCCAGGATCGATTCCCTCAAATGAAACCATAGCCAATAAATGGAAACACTGAACTTAACCCATGCAATCCTGAGTTAAACAAAAACTCATACCATTCACCTTTTCATTTGTAATCCTACCAGCATACAGAAACTAAATTTGTCAAAATGATAATCTGTACCTATCCTCAATTATTTTTCTTTTCATTTTTCCTTCTTATTATACCTTTTTCCCTGAAGCCAAGTAAGTCATTGCACTTCTTGGCATCACAGAAGAATTCCATATGATAGGCATGTAGCATATCCTTCCTTCATATTAAAGTCACAAACAAAAATGCAAAATTCAAATGTTCATGGTCCAGTGGTCAGCAATAAAACATAAAATAAAATAAAGAAAGAGCGCGCCACTATTTGTGGATGACAGGAGGTATAAGGGTATTATCATGTAAAAAAAAAATCGAGATGAAAAACTTATATCTTTGGCCAAAAGCAACAGATGAGAAATAGAAAGACAGAGATCCCCTAAACACACAATAGCATTAGAAATGAAACAAGTTAATGATTACTGTTTTTTTCCCCCCAAACATGATTAAAAATTAAAAAAAAATTATTGAATAAAGGGGGAAAAAAAAAGATGGATTTACATCCACTGATATCCATGTCAAACCGGTAATGTAATCATATCCTAATCCAGGCATATCACCCTATATAAATACAGTGCAATCTCAAACGGTTAGTCTTGAAGAAATAGTCAATTGCAAAACTTACTTCAGAGGTGTGTTCTTTTTCCACAACACCTACTGACACCCCTCCATTACGTGCTCCAACAAGCATGAATGAACAAATCCATATTAGCTTCTCTAGCATCTGCTTTTGAAATGCTTCCTTCTCAAGAACCTGGCTTTTTTGACAGAGATCCGTACATGATAAATTATCAGTCGTGTTATACTATCTCCTTTTGACAATTCTGCATGAAATTCTATCACTTTAGCTTTACAAGACTTCAGCTAGCAAAGAAACACCAGAAAAGAAAACTAGTAATCCATCATTCATCATGAAAACAAGTAAATCTCTAAAATAATACCTTGCAAGAGAGGCCTCCGGCATGTAGTCTTCCCGCCACAGCAGATGCCCACTTCCCATAAGCAGCTGTGAGCCCTTCAGGATTAGTATCAGTCTTACCATCAATAGGGGCTTCTCCAAGTTTTGACACTGCGAAATATGCCAATACTTGGTCCGCCTCATTTAATCCTTTACTTTCAAACCATGGCTCCAGCATTCCATTCTGGAAAAACACCAAATCTGCTACATTTTCAAAAACTCAGACTCATAACTAGTAAATACCAACGAACTATAATTCACAATAGAAATATAGGGACTTCCAATTTTGCACAAGTAGCAAGGCAACTACATATTAGTTCGTAACCCCCACAGACAAACACACACTATGAAATAAGATGTCTAGTATTTTCCAGGAAAGTTATAAAAGTTCTAGCAAACTAATGCGGAACCACGAGCTTGAGTGGTTTAATTGCACCGCAGATTGAAGTGGATCACAATAATAAGGAAGTCTTAATTACCGCTCCATCTGGACCGAGGAGTAGCTT